CCGCCCCATCAGACACAGGTACCTCCCGAAACTTCCATGTCCGGTGAGGACCTGCGTCAGGCGGTAGGTGAGGACGCCGTAGCGTCTCTCAAGCCACTCCTCAAAGAGGGGACTTACCGCTGCGATGGCAGCGAGCCCAGCCCTCGGTTGCGACAGTCGTTGCTGCCATTCCGCCATGAGATCGCGCCGGAGCTCATCCCGCCACGCACTTATCTGGCGCGGCAGCGGAGTTTCGCCCCGGCGACGTGCCTCCGCGCGCATGCTGTGCACGCGCGCGAGCACCTTCGCCTCCAGATCCCACGGCGGTAATCCGGCAAGGAGGTTCGCCGACTCCCCAGAGATCGTGCGGTATCCGCGGATCATTCGGATCGCCATGACCCTCTGTGCCATGAGCAGCGTCCGAGCGGGACGCCGCAACAGGTTAGGCGCCCAAACAGGGGCGCCGTAGAGGGCCATGGACCGCACGACCCCGGCGTATAACCTCCGGACAGTCGTGGTATAAAAAAAGAGTTTCACTCGATGATCAAGATAAACAATGTATGAAACAATGTATTGATTTCTCAATATGTAAGATAATGTGGATAATATTAATGAGATGAAGACGATGGTGATAACTAACACACTGATACACTATATCATAATTTAGACAAAAGAGCTTTCCTACGATACAATATGCAACTTTGTAATGTGTTGATAACCTTCCATTGTCGATTGTACGACTACCTATGTATATGCATGTATGTGTGTGTATCTTTGTATGTACGCGTGACGGTTAAGGGAAAGCCGCAGTTTTGGTACATTAGATTAATTAATACGCCAGTTTTCAATTGTTATCAGGGTTGCCATCTAAACGGAAGCTCTGGGAGGTAAATAAACAACGGTGTATTGCAGACAATTAATTAATGGCAACACTATGAGGATTAAAATAACATTTTTCATTATAAACGTTTGTAGCTTGTGTTTGGTATAGTATTTTGAGTTTCAAGTTAGTGTCAGGTTTAGCTTTAATTTTTATGTAAAACGCCTTTTACACTTGGTAGGTATAACAGATCATCATCAACAGCCTATAAATGCCCACTGCTGAGCAAAGCCTTTTCTGACACAGCGAAAGTTTGAGCATTAATCATCACGCTTTCTCCATGCGGGTTGGCGATTACAAACTTATAATTAGAAATTATAAGCCCAGCTTTCCTTACGATGTTTTCCTTCACCGTTTGTCAATGGTGTCTAGATAATCTTAGAAAGTACATATAACTAGGAAAAAGTCACATTGGTACTTGCCGTTGGTAGGTTTTGAAACCTATAATTATCCAGAATTTGCTAATTATTGACAGTTAGTCAAATTCAATACTTTTATTGAAATGTCAAAAACGATACTTTTTTATGAATTTTGTATTGGATCGCAACCTGTGACGTCATCATATTTCTACGTCAAATAGCATACTTATTTCCTTAAAATTAGCGAGAAAAAATCTAAAAGCATGTAAATCGTCAAATCTACAGATATATATAGTATGATTTTTTTTTAAAGTCGAATCAATTTATATTAAACTTAGGAAACTACCCAATTGTCTTGTTCAAAAATACAAGAAAATCATCACTATAACTGTTTACAACATGAATTAAAGTTAAAACAAAATAATAATTTTCACACTTCAAAAGTGTGGTAGAGCCATGCTTCGTCACGAATGGGCCGGCTCGACCGGAGTGATACCACGGCCTCACAGAAAACCGACGTGAAGCAACGCTTGCGTTGTGTTTCGTCTTGTGAGTGAGGTTACCAGAGGCCCAATTACCCTCCCCTTCCCCAATCTCCCGAATTCCTGAATCCCCAACGATCCTCAAACTCCAAATCACCAAAAGGCCGGTAACGCACTTATAATGCCTTTGGTGTACCAGGTGTCCATAGGCGACGCCGATTGCTTGCCGACGCCGGTGATCCGTCTGCTCGTTTACCAGCTTATGCAATAAAAAAAATATATAAACACTATTTGGTAAAAAACTGTCGTCACACGGATTCAATAAAGCGCGCGTCTAATTCTATTAGCACAATATCAGATGCGTCCCCATCGCATTCGTTGGAGAATGTCCCCCATGTCCTGCTAATGTGACTGACCCTATCTTCAAAATATCTAGGTCAACAGGACAATAAAATAAAGAAACGAAACGAGTAATGGCCGTAGATGTAGATATAGCTCCATAACGTCACGCCTTATATTTGAGAAAGGGTTATGCAGAAGGTTCACACATCGAATGTTATATTAATATGTACATTTCGTTAGTTATGTTGTAAGTTTTTTGGTATTTGACTGCCTCGACTCTAAAAATGACCAACCAAATGTACCTATGTATCACAAATAAAGGTTTCATTTCATTTCATTTCATCTCGTTGGCTGAACTATTAGGTACCAAAACCTTTGGCGGTAACTGTACTGTTTTACAATAAAATCATGTGGACGATTATGTATAAGCGTTGATGATCACTATATTTATCGATGAAAGATAAAGTAGTGCGGTAGTTATAGCAATCTTGATAACCAACCTTCTTTTACTGTTTTACTTATCAAATCAAGACTTAAGAAATCAATTTCTATTGCCCTTAAAATTTCGTTTTTAACACCAAATAACATAATAGGTGTGATGCGCCTTTTATCCCCGGAGGTGTAGGCAGAGGTGCATATTACGGCACTAATACCACTGTACAATGTAACACCATAATTACTTTTTCACTATTTATGTTATGAGTCCCATGTAATAAGAGGTGAGAGTTTATTGCCATATACCGGACACAATACCAGACTCCGTGCTACTACTGAGATTTAAAAAGAAAATCCATTAATCAATACTCTGCCCGAATCGGGAATATAACCCGAGATCACTTGCCAGGCAGTCGCATTTGCGACCACTCGTCCAAATGAGGCAGTCTAGTAAGAAAAATCCACTCATACGATACTCGTTGAAAGAGTAAAGGGGGGTGACATAAGTATTCTGTACCACACAGCATTTAACCATATACAAAGTTAATAATTAATGTGTGCAATAAACATTAACTAGACAATTTCGTTTGGAAATATGTATGGGAGTCAGTAATTAATGGATTCCAAGTACTACCTACTACATATTTACTTAATGTTTAATGTACATAAACGTTTTTAATTGAAGTAGAAATTAATGTTTGAAGCATTAGACTGGGTAGTGAAGTGACATTGTGAATATATCAACTTTACTGCAGCTAGTTAATAAAAAGTTGGTAGTTTCCTTCGTCTGTAAATTATGTATTTTTTCGGTAATGCTGAAAATATTAGTTACTACAACTTTATATTTTAAAAGTTTGTGTTACTGTCTTAAAAGTAGGTTACTGCAGTAGTATCAAAGAGTTGATGTTCGTATTAAATACACGATTATAATTAAAAACATCTTAACAAAAGTTCAGTGTTTAAAATTTTATGACTTGTAAATAAAACAGGTTATGACAATAAGAGCTAATATGCAACCTCTTTCAAAGCAAAAAAGCCATAACCTTCTTAAAAATAAACTTTATAACTATATAATTCGAAATTCAAAATAAAACTCGCCCAGAAACACACTCATTTGTTTCTAATGTAATGCAAAGTTAACAAAAAACGTTGAAAGAACGGGCACCCGTAATTCTGAAGACAATAGAGAGCGAACTGGGGTTCAGGGGAGGGAGGAAGGGGAAGGTCTCCCTTCTAGGGTACTAGGGGGTGGGGAGGTCGAGTGATCGGCCGCGACTAAGGACATCGGCGCATCTTGCCCTTCGGCCGCCTCATTAGCCAAGGCACTCGAGTTATTGTAGTCTGGATATGAGATTGGGGGCCTGTTGGTGTCAAGTTACTGGGCCGATCGTGTTAGCATAGTATAAAGTGTGTGCTTGCCTTTATGCTGGCGATAGTTGTGTTTTATATATAGGAAGCTAATGTAAGGTGGTTTAGATGAGTAGTTTAAATATACTACTTAGATTTAGTGGAATGTATGGCAACGGGATTGATAAAATTGAAATTCACACAAAAAATTGTTATTATAATTGGTATATCAAAAGTTAAAAATCATTTATTTCAATTAGACCAGGAAGGCACTTTTGAACGTCAGCAATAGAAATTTATAAGTGAAGCTATCTTATATCAAAAATATAATTACGTCCACAATTAGTTTAATTAGAAAAGAAGTATATATAGTTTGATATCACAAGGAACAAAAACTGATTAAGTTACTAGCATAAACATTGACATGTATTATCAACAATAATAATCATTACATAACATTGCATAGGCGGGTAACTTATTTTCAATTGCAGGAATACTACAAGTTGGATATGTGTGAAATATGACTGTGTCAGTTAAGCTAATAAGTAAGTTGGTGTCGATTTTTCAATTATCAGTTAATTCTGAACTGTAGAATAAAATTGATTATATGTTGAGAAAATCATCGAAGGACTGCTCCCACCTGGGTGAGGCGAGAGGTAGTGTCAGACTCTTACTGACTAAAAACCACCCCGTTCCTTCTCCTGCACGTCGTGCCGGAGTGCCGGTAACTCGGTTAGGTTCTCCGCGACAAAATAATATTGATATATGAGCTGTTTTTAGTATGGAAGAATTGTCATATATTCAAAGTTATTCGTTAGTTAAAATGTATCTAGCATTGGAAAATCATTAATCAGAAATTGTAATATAGACCCTAAATCTACTGATCTATAATTACATTTTAGAAAATCTCTAGTACTTACGACATATTGACAGCACCTTCATTTGGTAACTAGTCAACACTAATAACTGTTTTGTGTTCACTATGTATTTTATTATTTTACCATCAAACTAAGATGCACTATTCACTGTTCAATTCAATAAACAATGTGTTACTTAAAACTAAAGGAGGTGTTGCCATTTAAGAAGAAAAAAACTAACTGCAATCTGCCCTCTATTGGAAACTTTTATTTGATAAATTGAAAAATAGAGGGTATTAATAAAGTAATACTGATTGAAATCGTTTTTAATTAAATATTGATATCGATGCGGACGAAGTTTTTGTTGATCTGTGTAATTAGTTCTTTTTAGTTTTCTTTTATTAATTTTTTTGTATATTATATGTTGTAAATAGTTTCTTTTTTAAAACTGTAAGATGAACACAAGGTTAAAATTAAAAAGAAACATTGGGTATGAATCATATTGTGTTCTTTTTTGTACGGCCGTTTGTTACACATACAATAATGTAACATGAAATTTTTTACCAGTTTGTTGGAAGTCTTATATAATAGAGGGTAAGGTATTGCTATACACCATACATACATAGTAATCAAATATGATGTTATACACTATAGTGTTAAAAATGAGATATCCTTTTTTAATCATCCCGCCCGGGTGAGGATGTGAGGAAGAATAGGAAGTCTCAGATTCTTACTGACTCATATCCACCCCGTTCCTACTCCTACAGTTCGAGCCAGAGCCCCAGCAACCCGTAAAGTCCTCTCTCTTTAGATGTTCAGCAGCAACTCTTTAACCATCGAAAAGGTCAAGTAAATAAACCAATAATTCATCTACAATACACCATAGCAGACTACAGCATTGCGTATAATATGTCTTCGTAATAACAATAGTAACAATAATTTCTTTTATAAATATCGAGGTCATATCCCAGATACCTATATACATATACTATATACGTATATATATATATGCGATTGTGCCAAGTTATTCATGGAATTAAAGATGATACGTAGTTACGGAATACGGTAGCCATCGTGCAGCCAAGTTTCGTTTATTTGGGAATGTTTAATGATAGCTTATTTGAATAAAAGTGAGACGGCCAAGCAAGAGGTTTTGTGTTCTCTGGTGAAAAAAAATAACTATCATTTGTAAATTAACTGTCTCGTGAATGGAGTTAGCGTTATGGCCTATTTATTTTATTTTATTGAGGCATATCGACAATATAAGCACGAACATTTAAAGTACGAAAATGATAGGGATACGGTCTAGTGTTTACATCAATTGAAGATATGCATTTAAGTACAATGTGAGTAACAGTAATTATAGTACCATGCCCTCTAAGTAAGAATACAATGAGTTTAACAGCGACATAGTTTACAACTATTAATAAATGTTTATGGTTGAGCAAAAGGTTTCAATGAGTTGAAATTTTCTGAAACCATAGGTACATAAGTTGGAAATAAGACGATGTTCTTATTACCTACGTGATACTCATTATTATATCTGGCGAAAAATGTGAGTATCAAAAATAGACTTCTACCTATTCCTTCAAAGGTTAGCAGACAATTCCAACTAATATTATTATAAAAGTGAAAGAAAGTTAGTTTATTTATGTATTTGTTTGTTATCTTATCACGCTTTATCTCTTTAAACAACCTTTATAAAATTTTGCATAACATAACATAACATCACGCCTTTTATCCCCGAAGGGGTAGGCAGAGGCGCTCATTAAGGCACTTAATGCCACTGTACAAT